CTCCAATCTGGGTGACAGAGAGAGACCCTGTCTCAAAAGGAGAGAGAGAGAGAGAGAACACCTCCAGAGCCAGACATAACATATGAGGCGCTCTCTCTCACATAACTGTGTCTTGCATAGATAAGTCATAAAATATTTATTTTTAAAAATGCATACTATTGTACTTCACCTTGATCTAATCTTTTTTCTCATCAACTAGATAAGAAGTTGGCAAACTTCTGTGAAAGGTCAAATATTTTAGGCCTTATACACCATATACTACTGTCTCTGCTGCATATTCTTCTGCTTCTTTGTGTTTTCTAACAATCCCTTTAAAATATAAAGCTACTCTTAGGGCAGGGCACAGCGGCTAACTCCTATAATCCCAGCACTTTGGGATGGGTGGATCGCTTGAGGTCAGGAGTTCAAGATCAGCCTAGGCAACTTGGTGAAACCCTGTCTCTACTAAAAATACAAAAATTAGCTGGGCATGGTGGTGCATGCCTGTAGTCCCAGCTACTTGGGAGGCTGAGGCAGGGGAATCGCTTGAACTCAGGTGGTGGAGGCTGCAGTGAGCCAAGATCACGCTACTGCTCTCCAGCCTGGGCAACAGAGTGAGATGCTGTCTCAATAATAATAATAATAAAAAAGCTATCCTTAGCTCAAGGGCCCTATAAAAACAGGCAGACATGGGATTTGGCCCACAGGCTGTAGTTTTCCAGCTTCAGTGCTATGTTACCGTAAGTATCTTAAGGTCAACTCTGAGTTATGTACTTGTATCCCCTAATATCTAGCATAGTAATAAGCATGCAGTAGGTTCTTAGTAAACTTAGAACTCAGTTAAGTTGGAGGTGGAACCAAACAAGAGAAAAAAATGGGCAGATTTGGTCTAACAGGAATTTTATCAGGGAGACAAGACCTACAGCCCAGTCTGAATGACTCAAAGGGTCATTCACCAGATTTATAGGTAATGGAAAAAGACAGCTTGTCATACAGTCACACATCTCAACACTCAATTGTCTCCCCTTCGAGCAGCAACTCCGCTCCTGTAGACAGCTGCCTCCTCGTGTGTCTACTTACAGTGCAGCTGACTAGGACCTGCGAAAAAAGCACATAGCTTTTCCCCAGAGGATTTTTGTTGTTGTTGTTATTGTTCTGTTACTGCACCTTGCTATCTGGTTCTCTTGCCATGCTGCATTCTGAAAAGCTACTAGTGGGCTGGGCGCAGTGGCTCACGCCTGTAATCCCAGCACTTTGGGAGCCCGAGGTGGGCAGATCACCTGAGGTCAGGAGTTCGAGACAAGTCCTGGAGAAACCCCAGCTCTTCTAAAAGTACAAAATTAGCCAGGAACGGTGGTGCATGCCTGTAATCCCAGCTATTTGGGAGGCTGAGGCAGAAGAATCGCTTGAACCTGGGATGCAGAGGTTGCAGTGAGCTGAAATCATGCCATTGCACCACTCCCGCCTGGGCAACAAGAGCAAAACTCCGTCTTAAAAAAAGAAAAAGCTACTAGCTTAAAGGTAACATGTACCTCCAGAGGTAGGCATAATTTGGCAAATATGGATTACCTATAAACTGCTATGAATAATTCTTAGATGATGGCCAGGAAACTTTCCTAAAAATAGTTTCTGGATGGGAGCAAGTTTCTGATCCTGCTATAGTTCCAAGATTTGAGACCTGCTGAAAATGAATGATGGAAGGAAGGAATAAAGGAAGGAAATGCTTCATTGCTACAGTCATGGCCACAGCCCCCACTCCTGAACTGCCAGAATGCCAGGTTGTTGTAATGCCTCCTGAGAGATCCCAGAATCTGTACAATGCTTTCCCTTAAGGCAATCTTGCTTTTGCAAACTCTGGCACAGTCTCAGGTCAGAGCTATCTGTCTCAAGAAGAGTGCCTCTTTCCTCAAACATCCAAAATGTGCGTTAATTACTGCCAGGAGCTGTCCTCTCAATAGTAACCTTCCTGGGCCCAGGGAGATAGGGAGGAAGGGGAGAACAGAGATGCTATTTCATGTCCTGCTAGGTCTTCAACCTCCATGAAGTAGTAGAGGCAGCCACAGGGGAATGGCTATATTTCCAGGCATTTCCTTCCTCCTTTTCACCCCTTGAGATCTCAGAATAATTCACTGCAATGTTCTCTATTAAGTCTCTGCCACCTCATATTCCCCTCCCCATTTTCATGGAAAGGATAAAAAGGAACAAGTGGTCCCTTGGGCATTATAACCAAGCCAGCAGATGCTTCTAAAGGAAGGTAAGTGTCAGATGCTTAACTGTGTGACTAAGTAAAACACATTATCTAACCAAGCTTCACTTTGAGATAGCAAGTCCTATATTTTTGATAAGAAAAAAGGAAATGGGTAAAAATAATTTATTTAAAGACAGGCTATGAGTTAGTGATGGAGCAGGAAACAGCATCAAAGTCCTTTGATTCACAGGCAAGGTCTTATCTGCCAGAAGAGCCAAGTTGTTTCATTGGAAAAAGTAAATGAAACTACTCCCAAGGTCCCTGGTAGCTGTTCTAATGAATGCCGAGGGGTTCTATGTTTCTGAAGAAAGTAAATTCAAAATGAAATGAAAATACGACTTTGGGATTTAATTTTGCATGTCTGATTTGGAAAAGCTAAGGCAGAAAGGCGGAGAAGGAGCTGTAAGAAGTACTGAACACGTAGTACCAAGGAGAAAAGACTCTGTGGGGCATAGACCTTCAAAAGCAACAGCAATAGCTACAATACTGAATGTACTGACAAGGGAGTTGGCAGAAGCTGGGAGGTGAATGTTCTTTTATCCCTGACCATCACTGCAAGTGACAATTTTTTCTTGCTAGCAACCACCAGAATAGTCATCTTTGAATTGCATGTGGAAAACACAGGTTATAATTGAGCAATGCCATAAATATATTTTCCCCCTTATTCTGATATGATCTGACATCAACAGAAAGTAGAACCATGGCTAGGAGACCAAAGATTCAGGAAAAACAGACTTGGGCTGTTATGCCACTTTGAGATGAAGGAACTGGTTGAAGCACTCATCTAAATTAGTGTTGGCAATCGTCCTGCTATGATGGAGTTGTCCACGGCCACTCAGGAGGCATGAGACCATCACCACGATCATTTGAGATAAGACCAGGTCCCTTTTGAGCTGGGCTAGGGGAATCACACCAGACAACTTTCCCAAGTCACAAGAGATATTAATAAATTATGGAAACAATCAAGATCTGGCATTGGGTCATCAGGTTAGGGAAAGACTCACTGGGACCAGGGTAGTAAGGTAAAGTGAATACAGCAAATAGGAAGTGAGATTTCACAAAGGAATTAAGCCTCAGAATGCCAAACCAAAGCAAGGACATATACAGGTATTGATCGACTTACCACCTATACCACTTACGACCATTCGACTTTACGACCACAATCGCTCGCCATGACTGCTCCGCATCTGGCAGCACAAACGTTGCCCAGCTGGGCATATGACAGTGCGGACCAGCTTCTGGCAGCACTACCATTTCTGCGTGCACCATTTCAACTGTACATATAGCCTACTCAACTTATGACCAAATCGTGTTTCGACCGGTCCGCAGTCCCGACCGTGGTCGTAAGTCGAGCACCAGCTGTAATGTCAGAATCAAAAGTGGTGGCAGCAGTATCAGTGGTAGGCTCAGATCAGCAGGGCCATCGAAGACAGTGAGCAAAGAGGAGGTTGCCAGGAGCCCTTGACTATGAGGCTTCCTCCTCTACCTGGCCCCACGCTGTCGGTTATGGTGGAGACAAGGTGCATGACACCTTGAAAAGTGGTGATTGTTGGGCAACACCTAAAGGCAGAGAGGCCCATCTCCTTACAACTGTAGCCTATGCTCAATGATCTCTATATGAATTATACCATGATAAAGTTTTACTTAGAGGTTTTCTTCTTTCTGCCACTATAGATGTTTTTTGGTTTCTGCCCTTACTATCTGTTGGTGTGAAATCAGGCAGAAAAATGAACTTAAGAACTATTTTAACTGAAGCAAATCACAATGAAGAAGGTAAATCTGCTGTGGAAGAAAAATCCCTTAAAGTCACTATATTTATACTGTCTGATGCCTTGGTTAAATACAACCAAAGTTATTCCTCCTGCAATAGTTTATTAAGGCATAGGGTAAGTTCTAAAAGCAGTGGGTTTGAGTGAAGTCAATTCAAACCCACTGCTTTTCTCTAACTCAAGCTGGGAAAGATAGCTCCTTTGCCTTGGCCTGAAGACTGAACGTTGTACATACCAAATTACTACAGAGTGAAGGTCTGAGTTGACTTACAACTTGAACCTGACTCCATGGGTCACTGGTTCTTACATAATCAGCAAATAAAAATACTCTATCTATCAAGAGAAAGCTGGGTCAATGTTCATGGACTGACTGAATAATATGTGACAACGACCATTAAATATGCCTACTGTGCAAAAGAACGTCAAGAAATGACGTTGCAGATGCATTAAAACGTTGCCCCGTCTTTAAGTTATGATTACACTTTATCAAAGTTTTAGACTTTTCATTTCATAGGGATGATAACCAAATGATCATAGCAGGTATGTCTCCAATAATCCTAAAAGTCTTGAGGCCTGATACTGAAAAGATAATCTGAAACAGAAATCTGTTTAGGGTAGGGTTTCTCTAGATTGGCAATACTGACATTTTGGGTTCAATAATTTTGTGTGTGTGTGTGAGGGGCTGTCCCATGCATTGTAGGATGTTTAGCTGCATCACTGACCTCTACCCATTAGATGCCAGTAGCAAACCCCCACCCCCTCAGTTGTAACAATTAAAAATGTTTCCAGATTTTGCCAAACATCCTCTGAGGTGCGTAATCACTCCAGTGGTTGAGAACCACTGGTCTAGAGATATTTTCTCTTTAAGATCACACAATAAATATACATACACCACAGTAAAAGGAACCAAGACAGGTTACAAAAGGCTCTTCTACTGATTATTACATGTGGCTTAGGACATTTAAAAATGTATGCTGACATGCTGGCAGCAAAAGTATACTCACTGTGTACAAGAAAACAAAAATCTTTCCACATCAGCAGCAGAGTGAGTTTTGTAAAGCCTTCTGCATCATATTCCACGACACCTCTAAGTAATAAAAACATACACACACAAACAAAAAAAGAACCCTCATAAAAATAAGGTATAAAAGTGATGAAACCAAGTAATGAATATATTCAAGAAGTCAGGGTTATTGACTCTGAGATGGATTTAAGGCAAATGAGGATTAATGCGGGAAGGGACTGGGGTTTGAAATGACAGTATCTAGGTTTAGGTCACAGCTTTGCCACTGACTGTCTACTACGACCTCAGGCAAATCACTTAACCTTTGCAGCCTCAGTTTCCTTACCTGCAAAACAAGTATGAACATATTTGCAAAATTCATTACAGGATTGTGAAAAACTAGTAAGATGAATCATAAAATACTATACAAATGTTAGTTATTACATTAATTATGAGTAAAAGGACATATTAATAAATCAAGTCAGCAATGACACTATAATGCCAAATGTCAGCATACTACCTGTACAGTGATTAAGTCTGACTTTCACTGGGCACTAGACAGCAATACGTGATGACACTATTACTAAATCTAGTATTATATATTACTTTGCTTCCAAAGTATGTGGAATCCTTTCCCTTGTGTCCTCCCCGTCCCCCCTCCTCCCCACTGGGCTCAAGGCAAAGTAGCAACATTAGACGGGTGGATGCTGGGATCAGGAGGGGGGATGCACATGTCCTGTGTCGAAAGAGAACATCCCCTGACCACCAAAGGTGCCAGGTGGAATTCTGTAGGTTCACCTCATCCATTTCCCTTAAGAGCTGGGCACCTGGGGGAAGTTGCCATAATGTGACAATACTAACCACACTAAGGACAGATAAAATTTTCTTTCTCATCCATACAAGGAGGACTCTGCTGTCTTTAGAGATGCCTTATACCTGACCAGACCAGGCCAATCAGGCCACTGATATTGATGCCAGCCCAGTTTAAGTGTGAAGGAACAGTTACACCCTTGTAAAGGTAAAAGAACTAAGATGCTGAAGGCTAAGTGATCTGCTACAAAATGGATGGTATATCATTCAGATCCTAAGTCAACAATTCTAGTCATTAGTTGATATTTCTCTCTATGAATTTATTGATTTATTTAATTTAATTTAATATATATATATATAATTTTTGAGACACAGTCTCACTCTGCTGCCCAGGCTGGAGTGCAGTGGCATGATCTTGGCTTACTGCAACCTCTGCCTCCCAGGTTCAGGCAATTCTCCTGCTTTAGCCTCCTGAGTAGCTCGGATTATAGGCACCTGTCACCATGCCCAGCCAATTTCTGTATTTTTTAGTAGAGACAGGGTTTCGCCGTATTGGCCAGGCTGGTCTTGAACTCCTAACCTCAGGCGATCCACCTGCCTCGGCCTCCCAAAGTGCTGGGATTACAGGTGTGAGCCACCGTGCCTGGCCTCTCTATGAATTTACAATTAGCCCAATAATGTTATAGTGCTGATAGTGAAACACTTTAGGTCCTGCACCCCATAGGCAAAGATAAGTATGTAATCTTTTTAAGTATATTACTATACTACGTGCATAATAAAACATACACAAAAAAGAGTGCACTAAAAAACAATGAGATTTGAAAGCAAATGTAAATGTAATTTTCATAGTTTTCTTGTATTCCAATAGAGTGAACTGTGTAACTCCTGGGGTGTGTGTACTCCATTTTGGAGGTCACTGTGCTAGTTTCTTCATGTTCAATTATATATACCAAAGATCTTACTCAGAAATAAGACCAGTGGTATTACTTACTAACCACTGTTGTATCAAAATTACTTCCTCAAAATGTTCACAAATAAAGCTGAGAAAAATCTTAAGTAGTAAAGACTCGTGTGAGAAACAGTCATAGTATTTGGGTATTGACACTTCTATTTTGGAGAAATGAAAAATTCCTTTATGGGAATGAAAAAAATGTCTTAAAATTGGTTCGAGGAGTCAGAAATTTTCTTATAATTGTGCCACCGTTTGAAAATTATATCCCAGAGGGTGACAAATCCTTTTTTTTGGTTTCATCTTCTCTTCCCTATTCCTAATTTCCTTTTTTCCTAATTTCTTTATTTACTTATTTAAAATTTTAATTTTATATTACTAGATATATTTGTATATTTATAAGCCTTCTGTGGAATAAGGTGGGCTATCATCAGGCTGTTTAAACCCTTAGTGCCTAGTTACCCACAATGGGTAGAATGTTCCACCTTCTAAAGAGCATGAGGAAAATACATTCCCTCTTCCACTGAGCCAAGCCCAAGGAGAAGCTTGATCAGGCCTCTGATTTATTTAAGGAAATAGGGCTGCAGGGCAGCACAGCCATGGGCAGCCAGAAGGAAAGGGCAAAGGCACAGGGATGGTGGAGCCGGCAGCACTCACGGTGTCACAGGCTTCCCTCTCCCATCTTGGTGCTTGCTTTTAGCTCCTAACCTCAAGTATGAGTCACTGCTTTTATATTAAATGCTGGATTTCCTCCCCAAATCTGTGTGGCACTGTTGGCAAATGGAGTCCTGTCAGGAAACCTGAGTCCTGGGGAAATGGGATTCCTGCCCTGGCTCCACTTCTTCTAGGGGTGTGACTTCCATTGGGCTACTGAACTTACTGCAATTTCTGAAGAATGACACATTCTTCAACAGAATATGTCAGTGATGCTCACCTGGTTCACCCCATGGCCACTGTGAGGGCATGGAGGTGAGGGTGCTGTGTAAATTGTAGGGAGTTCTACAAGTGACTGTTACCACCATTACTACTGCTGTGTTCAGGGCTGTCCTCGCTGCTGCTCTAGGGAAGGCATTTGATTCTACCATTTGCCAAAGAATACAAAAAAGAAGGGGATCCTGGGAGCATTGGTAAAAACAGCATACCAAAAAGGATCAAAGTGGCATTAAAAAGATATCATGTGTAAGAACTAAGTGCTATTTTCTTAATTAAGCCCCCGTGTTGAGGTTATCAGCAAGTGAGGGCATCACTGGTGTATCATTTAAATAGGGCAGAACTTACGTGCCAAAGTGACTGAGGAAAGCAGCAATATACTCTCTTCTTTTGTGATATCCTTGAATCACGTACTGCACCTGGAATAGAAACCCAAAGCTGAGAAGTGGAGTGGGAAGCTTTAAAAGGCTTTATTATAAAAAATTTCAAAGATTCAGAGAAGCAGAAAGAATAGTAAAGTGAACACCCGTATTCCCACTACTTACATTCAACAACTATGACTATTGTGCCTACTTGCTTCCTCCAGCCATCCATCTACCTATCAACTTATCAATCAACATTTCAGAGGAAATGAGAGACATCATGACAGTTCACCCCTAAATATTTCAGTATATATCTCTAAAAAATAAGACTTTCTTCTACATAACCACAATACCATTATTATACTCAAAAAACTTAGCAATCAGTCTCTGAATTAATCTAGTATCCTGTCCATTTTCAAAATTTCCTAATTGTCCCCAAAATGTTTTAATTTTTATTGTTTACTTTGAAAACAATTTCTTGAGATGGAGTCTTGCTCTTGTTGTGGAGTCTTGCTCTTGTTGCCCAGGCTGGAGTGCAATGGCACGATCTTGGCTCACTGCAACCTCCACCTCCTGGGTTCAAGCAATTCTCCTGCCTCAGCCTCCCAAGTAGCTGGGATTATAGGAGCCTGCCACCATGCTCTGCTAATTTTTCTATTTTTAATACAGACACGGTTTCCCCATGCTGGGTAGGCTTGTCTCAAACTCCTGACTTCAGGTGATCAGCCTGCCTTGGCCTCTCAAAGTGCTGGGATTACAGGTGCGAGCCACTGTGCCTGGCCCAAAATGTTTTTTAAAAAGGAGTGTACAATTAAGGATCAGCCATTTGTTTTTAATGCCTTTTAAGTTTCTAAATCTAGAACAAATAGTACCTCCTTGAGTGTGAGTATGCGTGTGCCTGCATGCACATAACATGACACTGACTTTTCAAATAAATTTGGCTATGTCCACGTGCAGAGGCTGACGCCTGCAGTACTTTGGGATTCTGCAGTACTTTGGGAGAATTACTTCAGGCCAGGAATTCAAGACCAGTCTCAGCAACACAGCCAGACCTCATCTCTACAAAACATAAAAGAAATTAGCTGGGTGTGGTGATATGCACCTATAGCCCCAGCTACTTGGGAGGCTGAGGCAGGAGGAACACCTGAGCCCAGGAGTTCAAGGCTGCACTGAGTTTAGATGGCACCACTGCACTCCAGCCTGGGTGACCTCATCTCTTTAAAAGAGCAAGACCTATCTCTTAAAAAAAAAAAGAAAAAAAGAAAAGAAATTGGACTAGTTGTCTTATAGAAGATCTCAATTCTGTTTTCTTCCTTTTTCTTTTACTCTCTGTATTTCCTATAAATTAGAAATTAGAGCTCAAGGGTGATTAGTTCCAGGTTGAACATTTTTGGCAAGAAAACTTCCTAGACAATACTGGGCTTGATCACTTGGCTAAGGTGATGACAGCCAGACCACTCCATTGAAAGGGGGTACTCCCTCTGTCACAGTGAAGAGTCTATGGACATACCTCCTGAAGTATGGAAAGACCTAGTTTCCCAACCTTTCACCTAATGGTTTTTGTATTTATTGGAGATCCTTGTCTGAATCAATGATTTCATTATGGATTGCAAAATAATGATTTTTGAATCCCATCATTCCTTTTGCATACATCAGCTGACAATCTCTGTCGAGAGCTTTCTCTCATCAAATGGGGTTCTTTGGTTACCTTGAGCTTCTATTAAAAAAAAAAAACAGAATAATGTTTCTTTCTTTTTAGAATTCTAATATTCAGAATAAGGGGTATTACAATAGGAGATTTTATTTTGCTTTGCCTTTTTATATGCCTCATTATCACCGAATGACAGTTTCTATTAAAAAAAAAATTGCGAACTCATTAAGCTAGGCATCTGAAAGTTAGTCATTTACCCACTGGCTTCTAACACGAAAACACATTCCTTATAATGTTTTCATGATGGCTAGAAGAAACAGTGGGAAGGAGAGACCCCCAAAATTGTTTATATTGGCTATAGCCACACTGAGTTTTCATAGCTAACAAAAGCTCAAGATAAAGTGCTTGAAATAACCTTGACACAATTGGTACTGATAGCCATGTTGTACCCTTTAAATGTAAAACAATTCTATTTATATAATAGGGGTTTATGTCAATTTATAAAAACAGTGCTTACTTTGCAGGCTTAATGCAGGATCAGAAGTGTTATTTTGGGAAAAGAAAAACAGATGATAAGTTTGCTTAAGTGACTTTGTTTAAAAAGGGGGATGAAAACAGTTCTGTATACTTGATTTTAAAAACAGAAAACCATTTTAACAGAAACCCACAACAAAACTGGCTATAAAGATAGATTCCAATATAATTATGGAAATTCATTTGAAGAGATTGTTTCTAAAAGCAGCCCATACTGTCCTCATTTGTGGCAAACAGAAGAACACCATTTTCAAAAGACAAGTAAAATTAATGAAAGGAAACCAGATAAGAAAAATGGACTGATTCTTACATTTCTGGGAAAATGGTATTATAATTTTTTTGAGGAAAATGTATGACTAGAAATTAATATCCATTGGAGAGCTTTAAAAAGGCTTTTCTTCTCTGTTTTGGAAGGCCAAATTTGCATTTTTCTCCATAATTCTGCAACACAGATTTGAAGGCAGTGCAAAGCCCCAGAATGTAAATAAGAATTCTGTCCTCTGATCAGTTCTGCAGTGGGGCAGAGGCTGGGGGAATTTGGTCTGATGAGAAGCAACCCCTGCCTGAGTGTTAAAGCCTGGAATCTGTGCCAGGCCCACAAACTGCAGAGTTGCCAGATTTTAGTTTCTCTGACATTTGAAAAATAATACTGAAGCTTTTGAAATATTATTGTACTTTTAAACTATTTTCTATATAGAAATGAGCTATCTTTTGAGTGAAAGAGACAAAAGATCTATTTTCCAAGCCAATGTGAACAAGTCAACAGGAGCAAAGAAAATTGCACTCTGGCACTTAAACAAACTGAGTCACAGTCCACGTGGGAGAAGAAAGAGGGTCAGTGTTGCTTGTGCATCAGTATCGCTAGTTTTCAGCTAAATACACAGGCTGGACATTAACAAGTATATTCTTACACTTTTTGGAAATGTCTGACAATAACCGTTAGAGTAGGCTCAGCTACTTGCTAATGTAATGGCTCCTTTATGTAGCTAAGAGAAGCCTTAGGTCATCTGACTGAGTGCAAGACCAGCTGACTAGCTGGGCATGGTGGGTCATGCCTGTAATCCCAGCACTTTGGGAGGCTGAGGCCGGTGGATCACCTGAGGTTAGGAGTTCGAGAGCAGTCTGGCCAACATGGTGAAACTTCGTCTCTACAAAAATACAAAACATTAGCCAGGTGTGGTAGTGGAAGCCTGTAATCCCAGCTACTCAGGAGGCTGAGGCAGGAGCATAGCTTGAACCTGGGAGGTGGAGGTTGCAGTGACCCGAGATCGCGCCACTGCACTCCCACTTGGGAGACAGAGTGAGACTCTGTCTCAAACAAACAAAATACCAGCTGACTTGGGAATCTTGCCCCTAGGTGCAGGGCTCTAGTGAACTGCTCCCAGATATGACAGGAAGAATCAAAGTCTGACTATTAAAAAGTGAGGTACAGAAACACAGAGAGAGATGAAGGCAGTTTTAAACAATTACTCTGGTATCAACTAGTGGCAAACACATGCACACACACTTGCATGTACTAGATAATTGGGAAGCAATGGGGTTCCAAAGTTGTAAAGTTTTAAAGTTTAAGAAGATGCAAGATCTGACAAAAACTTAGGGTAAAGGAAATTCAAGAAATAGGGGACTTAAATCTCAGGTATAAAGTTAAGAGATTAAGATAAGACTGGAACAGGAGGTCAGGTTCCCTAGAAAAGGAAGAAGGAGGACAAAGAAATAGGGAGAGAAACATATGAACTGTAATTCATAGTAGGAAGGGCAGGTGTCAGATGGAGGCTGAATCTGAGCAGGCGGTCTAAGAAGGATGGAGCATGCACAATGATTTTGGGTACATGGTGAACTGGAGGAAGGAATCTCACAAGAGGGATGAGTCGGAGACTTGCTTTTACCTTGTTGGTGAGCAGGTGGCATACTTGAGGAACGTAATCAATGAGACATCCTCCTCCTGGAAAGGCTGGGATATGAAGAGCTGAGGAGCCTCCAAGTGCACTGAAAGGACAAGAGTACAATGGACACTTCTCTTAGGGCTCAAGCAACCTTGGAAATGATACCCCCAAGCAGACTTGGCTTTTCTCAACAGAATCTGGCCACCAACTGCCCAGGTTAATGATGATGGGTATATGGGCTTCACTTTATGATTACATCTCTGTATTTTAATTCATTTTATTAAATCAGCATGTTTGCATTATACATCACTGATATCACACAATAGCACAAATTAGAAAATTTTGATTGGCATGGGCAAATGTCTTACCAACATTAATGGGCTGTAGGTATTACTGAAACATACATTTTTATACTCTTCATTATGCCCAATTCATTGCTGGGCACAGATAAGTTATTCATTAAACATTGTAACTGAACTAAAATGAATTGATGCAACACTGTAGCAGAGTACTAAAGAGACTGGTTCTACAGCTTATTGGCCATTACCTTGTATTCCAAAAGGCCTACAAGAAGGTGCAGTCTAAACAAGAAGGTACAGTCAATAATCATTGATCCGAGCACTAAGATACAATGTTGATTCAGAAACAGTTTCCAAAACTTTCAGAAATTCCTTTTCTCAGGCTGGGCGTGGTGGTTCATACCTGTAACACCAGCACTTTAGGAGGCTGAAGCAGAAGGATCACTTGAGGTCAGGAGTTTGAGACCAGCCTATCCAACATGATGAAACCTCATCTCTACTAAAAATACAAAAATTAGCTGGGCGTGTGGTGATGGGCACCTATAATCCCAGCTACTCAGGAGGCTGAGGCAGGAGAAGCGCTTGAACCCAGGAGGCAGAAGTTGCAGTGAGCCAAGATCACGCCACTGCACTCAAGCCTGGGTGATACAGCGGGACTCAGTCTTAAAAAAAAATTCTTTTTTTCAGTTTAAATTAACCAGCATACAATTATTTAAAAAAATTGTTCAGAACTTTAAAGCATACATTTACTGCCCTTAACCTTTACTTCATCTTCTTTCCTGCACTCACTTTCCTTTTGCTTTAGTTTTTCTTTTCTTAATTTTATTTTAATGCATATATTTCTATAAGCCCTAAACTCTCCTGTAATATGATGGGATATTTTTAAAAATCCCTAAAATCCCTTAATGTTGTGATTACTTCTTACTGGTGTAATTATTTATTTATAATGTTGGATTATTGTCCAAGACTCCACAGTTACAAGGTTTTAAGTGGAAGAAAAAGGCATGACAATAACTGCCTAGAAAATCATTTCTAAAGAGTTCTGGGTATCTGGGTGCAGTGGCTCACGACTATAATCCCAGTACTTTGGGAGGCTGAAGTGGGCGAATCACTTGAGTCTAGGAGTTCAAGACCAGCCTGGGCAATATGGGAAGACTTTGTCTCTACAAGACATTTAAAAAATTAGCCAGGCAGGGTGTTGCACACCTGTAGCCCTAGCTACTTGGCAAACTGAGGTGGGAGGATCATTTGAGCCTGTAGGCAGAGGTTGCAGTGAGCTGAGATTGTGCCTGCGCCCTGGGCTAGGCGACAGAGTGAGACCCTGTCTCAAAACAAACAAACAGAGTCTGGGGCAGTCTGACTCAGTCTAGGGTTTGTGATACAAGGATTATGTGTGTGAATGTGCATACATATGTATAAAACACTACTAAAAGGACTCCAAATCCATCCTGTCTTCCTGTTGACCACAGATTTCTGAAATTAATTTCCCTGGTAAAAAAAAATTTTGTGTTTGCTCATGGAAATAAAAAATCTAAATGAACAAAATCTCGAGTGACACAAGGAAGTCAAGGTGGAGTGGAAATATTGACTTTTTCTACTCAGATGTTACCTAGAAGCACAACTCTGACAACTGAGAAAATTATAAGACAGTGTTTGACTAAGTATGACATTAATGAATCATCTGCATTCCGCAACTGCACAGAATCAGCAAGACCATCATTTCCTTTTGCTACTCTTAGAGTAGGCATTGCACTAGATTTAGCTTAAATTCTGAAGATGGCTAGGAAAATTCCTGTGACTTCCTATGAACAAGAGAAAGGCTTTCTGTCTTCTGTTTTTATATGTACAAATTACACAGAAGGCACATATCTAACCAGAAGCTCTAATGATTTCATTAAGATAGAAAAATGATGAAGGAAAAGAATCTATAGTACAAGAAAAACAAATACAATATTTATGTCCTGTAACTACTGGTGGAATATCTGTACAACATAGACAATGGCAAGATCTAAGCTATTCATAGCTCACTTAGAGGAACAATCCTTGGCATAATAAAATTCCAAAAAAGAAAACAATTTTGATGATTCCCTGAAGCTGACAGTAATAGGCTTTGACTTATATAAAATATTACAAGATAAGTCTTTAATCAGTCATTAAATTATATACAAGGAAGGAAAACAGTCTGAGTAATCCTCTAAACTCTTTCCCTCTCTCTGTTTGGACTGTGTGATTCTGAAATACAGCCGTTAGACAAAAGTTACGTATAATGATGGAGAGAAGTAGAGGTGTGAAAAGATCCAAAACCTAGCTGTTCACTGCCAGGCCCACGTTTCCACACCCTGCTTCTGTCACTACCAAGAACTAACACGTGTTGCTAGGTACTTTGTCACATTATTTAATTTAATGTTTTCCATAGTTCAAAGAGGTAAGAAGTATCATTGTAATTTTACATGTGAAAAAAATTGAGGCTCAGAGAACAGAAAATACACCTAGGTTCACACAACTGGACAGAGGTAAAACCAAGATCTGAACACAGGTTTGCCATGAATTCAGGCTGTTGCTGCTGAAATAGGTGACTTCCCTAAAAAGAGGGGGATTTTAATCACAAAAGACTACAGGGATGGGAAGAAACAGTGGGTCTGGTTATCAGTGAGCCAGGCCAGCATGCCAGTATGATGAAGGCTTCAGACCGTCACCTAAGTAGACACTTGTGATGTACGGCTCATCTCCCTTTACAGTTTACCACACAGCAGCAAGGCAGGCACTCCTCTTAATTTTGTTCATATCTCAGTACTCTCCCACCCCAACCATCAAACAATCAGATTCATTTGATCTCAAATTTGGACCAGCCACTCTGGCAGGTCTAATTCTGAATGACTTAGTTGGCTGCCCAGGGCAAGCCTCAATAGGTGTAAAGCACTTCAGGTACTAGGAAAGATAGTTTTAACTGAGAGTTTATTTTTTAAAGGATGTCATTTCACCCTGTATTTAACTCAGTAGTTTCTTAGCTTGTAAGGTACAAAATCTACATCCAGTGTCACACACTGATAAGTGCTGCTGATTCATGTATAAATATCCGCCTCATCGGTAAATATTTAACAGGCCTGCTACAGCCTGAATACTGCCCTGATCATGCTGAATAAACTAAGTCAAGTGCCATGAAATAAAAGAGTCATTATGTTTTTACAGGGTGCCAGATGGTGGTAAGGCCTTGTGATCTCTAATTCTTTAATATTCATGAATCCAAAAATATTGGACTGAGGATGTATAACAGGACATTCACCCTGTGCAGAGATTCCAGGGCTCACTCAAGACATTCCCAGGACTGCGGGGCTGGCTGAAGAGAAGGCAGGGCCTGACTAACCCACTAAGTGGCTGGGGAAGCATTATGAGGAGATGAAAGAAAGGGACCATGCAGTGTTGATACTTCTGAGCTGCAGAGCGGTGCGGTGAAGAAGCACAGGGAGAGGTAAACTGGTGTAGCAGGGGCTCTGGCACAACTTGGGAGGAGAAAAGGGTGAAAACGGCTGTTCTGATGAGAAGGCACTTTCTACCCCTTCATGGAATAAAAGAAAACATGAAATAGAACTGAAGCTGAATCTGTGGATATAAATTGGAAGGACGAGGCCAGAGTTTTAAAAACCTTTCTCATGGTGGAGGTAATTAAATAGAGCAAAATGAAACCAGAAAAGCATTTCCACGTCAGTCTTATTGGCTCTAAAACTCAAATGTAAGAACTATCTATACTGAATGTATTAATTAATCCTAGTCTTTTCCATGCAAATGAAACTAATAGAGCCCTTTGCGATCTTTGCTCTGTCTGCAAATCATTGCATCTCTCATATAGTTATGAGCCACATACAACATTTCAGTTAATGATGGACCCCATATATGAGAGTGGTTCATAAGATTACAATACCATATATTTACTGTACCTTTCCTATGTTTAGATATATTTAGATACACAGATACTTACCATTGTGTTATAACTGCCGATAGTATTCAATACAGTAACATCCTGTATAGGTTTGTAGCCCAGGAGCAATAAGCTCTACCAGAGAGCCCAGGCGTTTAGTAGGCTCTACTATCTAGGTTTGGGTTGGTACATTCCATGATGTTTGCACAATGACAATACTGCCTAACGACACATTTCTCAGAACATGTCCTGGCCATTAAGCAATGCATGACTATACTGAAGACTTAACTTGGCTGCAGCGTGATAGCATAAAAGAATTGTTTTTATTTTGACATAGAAAAATGTGGGGAGTCAGCCTGTCGGAAAGCTTGACTTGGGACAATGGGGTTTTGGTGTTGACCCATTATGAAACAGCAACTCCCTTTCCTCCCATGTGGGCTTTTACCTTACTGGTCAAATAAAATGAGCAAAACATAATTGTGACTGGAGAAAACTAGAAGGGTCAGTGATTCTCAATCACAATTCTTGCTCTGTCAAGTTTTCTTTCTCTGGTTCTACTCAACTTTCTCATCAGTGCGGTGGGATAGCACCACTCTCAAAAAGACCTGGCCAGGTGCAGTGGCTTCGGCCTGTAATCCCAGAACTCTGGGAGGCTAAGGCAAGATGACTGCTCCAGGCACGAAGTTTGAGACCAGCCTGGGCAACATAGCGAGATCTCATCTCTAAAAAAATTAAAAATTAGCCAGGCATGATGGTATGTGCCTATAGTCCCAGCTACTCAGGAGCCTGAGGTAAGAGGATCACTTGAGGCCAGGAGTTGGAGGTTGTAATGTGCCATGATTGCACCACTGCACTCCAGCCTCGGTGACCGAGTGAGACTCTGTCTCT